GAATACCAAACTCGGTGTGTATTCTGCTTCATTGAAGGTGGAGAATTGACCATTACCCGATGAGCGCCACTCATTGGGGTCGTGAATATGTCCACAGCGAACGGCCGGAAGGGAGGCGAGCTCGGGAATGTTGTGGCGAAACTTTTGAGCTTTGCGCCGAGCACCCCCGAAGACGCAAGCATCGTAGTCCAGATCCTGCCAGTCACCCTCCTGGCACATGAACTGCTCGACTGGGTCCCACCAGCGCAGCGACCTGAGCGGGTTCTCGCAAAGACATGCGATGTTCTGTTGGTGCCCCCAGTGCTGTAGGGCCAAGAGGTAGTCACTGGAATAGTTGTCAGCATCGACTCGGGCCTGTTGTCCCGCGTCCAGTCCGGTTAGACCCCTTGGGTATTGCCAGGGCCAAGAAGTAGGTATCCATCTTGGCCATATAGGACAGCCAGGACTTGGCGGTGATCTCGTCCTCATCGTCCTCCTGGAGGTACAGGTTGCCGGTCAGGCGCCGACGCTTCTGACTGTGAGTGCGTTGAAAAGTGAGCGAGCGGACCGTCCACAGGTCCATGACCTCAAATTGGCTCCGAGTCAACTGTCGGCTGAGCTTGGACAGAAGTCGGTCAGAGGGATACTGGCGAGGTTCTGGACGCAAGTGGTAGCGCCGAAAGAAGGCCTCTTTCAAGTGCTCGAGCTCCTGCTTGGGAAGCAGCGTCTCTTCTTCCGTTGGAGCTGGAGGTAGGCTGGCCGCCGCGTGCTCGGGGTCCAGCAAGGCCTTGCACGCCGTCCAAGCGAAGCGCAGCCTGGCAGCCTGGAGGCGCCCCTGCATCTCCTCATAGGCAGGGTCCTTGATTGTATCAATGAAGAGCTTTTTGATTTCGTCCTCACCACGAGCATAGTGGCGAAACTCCGCAATGGTGCGGATGCCAAGCTCAATGATCTTGTCTTTGATGCGCTGCTCAAAGTTGAACTGCAACGCAAGGGCCGTGAAGGTGTCCTCCGGAGTAGCGAGCTGCTTGGGGACGGTGGCCATGATGCACAAACGAAGATGGCGGGATCAACGATGGAAAGCAAAGATGGCTGCGGGAATCATATACATGATAATGGGCGGAGGCTGCCCAGACAACAAGTTGATCCTGCAAGCGGGCAGTTGATTGTAACACAGCACAAGTGTGAACTCCTTTTCAAAAACTCAAAGATGTTCATAGCGTAACTACTGAAGACGCTTCGCAAGCTCCCCGAGCTCCAAGCTCAGACATTGCAGCGCTGGCCAGCCGATAGCGTCGCCTGCCGCATAGGCCTCATAGTGGGCGGTGTAGAGCAACTGACGGAACGCAGCGCGCTCAGCTTCAGGGAGATTATCATGATGGCGCGCCAAATCATCACATGTAGTGTGGACCAAGGGGGCATAGGGAGGCAAAGTACCAGGTCTTGGGGCCACCGGCCACAACAGCCCTTCCAGCCGAGGCTCTGGGCGTGCTGCCTCCCTGGGCAGGTCTTGGATCTCATCCCACCATTCGATCCAGGATTCACATAGGTTCTTTGCAGCGCGCAACTGAACCTGTCCCACCCCTAGACAAGAGGTGGAGGTCGGGGGAAGGGCCCGCAAGGCCCGGCAGGCCTGGTCCATTTGATCCCCCACCTCCCAAGCACGGGCCCGTCTGGCCTCGCCCTCCAAGGGCGCCAGTGTCACGGCAACGAACTGGATCGCCTGAGGCCGGTCCATTGGCACAAGGTGTGGGTGCGCAGTACGAAGTTCACTGAGGACACGAGAAGCTGCAGCAAAATGGCGGAAACGGAATGTAAACCTTATTCGACATTCGGAAAAAGGGGCCTACCTGTCTGGCCGACCGCCGAGTCCCTGGATGAGGCCAAAAAATTCTTGCTTAGCACTCGAGACGCCCTCTCAGCCTACGTGCTGTTTCTGAAGGACGGCAGCTATTAGTACAAGTGGACCTGGGCATTGCCAGGAAGCACTGCTTTACATGTGATACAGAAATCGCGCCCGTAGGCCAAGGCCTCATGGATGCTGCGAGCTCGGTGGACTTCGCCTCGATAAGCAGCATTGCGTTGGCGCCATCTGCACCAGGGCGCGGTGTCACGCTCCACATGCCAGTGCGAGCCTGCTTTCGTTGAGGTAATAAACGAGATTGGGTACCTCGGCAGGGACGGTGGCGTGATGTTGACCTGACCTCGAGCCCATTTGAAGATGTCAGGGCCTCCACGCCGAGCGAGCACACCGGCTCGGTCGATAGCCCGCAAGCCTTCCAGGCGGGAATACGCTTCCTCGAAGGAGCACCTCCTGATCCATGCGAGGAGCAGGCCAGCCAGCACAGGGGCCCTGTGCACCCCTGCCATGCAGTGAACCAAGACGGAGTAGCCCGAATACAGAGTCGCCAAGAAGATAGGCAGCACCAACTTCAGCTGGCGGTCACGAAGGGCTCCCCGGTGGCCAACAGGAACATTGAATTGGTAGACCTGGCGGACGCCGACCCCTCCCCGACAGTCAGCGGCGATTTTGTCCATGGCGCTGAGGCTCATGCCGATGTTGTGGGCCTCCAACCATGCCCGGTCAGTGGGCAGTCCGCCCAAATAGATGGATCCGTTGCCAGCTTCACCCATGAAGATGAGCGTGGGAGGCTCTGGAGCACCGCTGTGCCCGGGCCGGCGCCAGCGCTCCCGTGCTGCTGCATCAAAGGTGCTGGGCCGGACTGGCCCTGCGAACGATGGAGTAGGTCGTGGCCGCAACGGTGGAGATGTGGTAGGTCGCGGTGCAGCTTGCGAAACTTGTTCTCGACGAACAATGTCCCGCACCAAGGCCCCCGCGCCAAGCTCCGCCTCGCGGCGCGCCTGGTCCCAGGCATCTGCCACAGCGCGGCCCTGCTTCAGCGCCTCTTCGTACGTAACGAAGTAAAACGCGAGATCCGAGGGCCGCTCAATGCCATGCGCAGCGCACCACCGCTCCAGCTTCTGCTGTTCAGCAGAGCGGCGGATTTGGGCGTCAGCGCTCTCCATGGCGTCAAAAACCAGGAAGAAAAGTTTAGCTTGAGGTACCAGCAGCGACACTGCTCCTCAAGGGGCGTCTCCCCAGTTTGGCTTGAGCATTCAAACATTGGGAGACGTTGATTTGAAGCTTCCCAAATAATTCATCATCACCGACCCTGCCTACCTTAAATGATTGAATAAACAGTTCAAGTTTGGTTTGATGAATCTATGTCAGGAAAAAATGTAAACAGTACAAATTTGGTTTGATGAATCGATGTCAGGAAAAAATGTAAACAGTTCAAGTTTGGTTTGA